CAACAGTCATAAGGAGGATCCTTCTTGGCCATCAGAGCAGACATGGCTCCAACTGATGTCTGGACAACAACCTCATCAGAGACTCTTGACCCTGGACCACCCAGTAAGGGGCTCCTGAATACTTGACCCACAGAAACTATGAGATAATTGCTTCAAGCAACTAACTTGGAGGATAATTTATCATGTAATAATAGATACTTAATATGGTGGCTTGCAACCTTTGTAACTGTGACTCACAGAAAGAAATACATTTTACTTAGCAACCCAGAGTGTGTGCACCAAGTGTTGTTGCATACACACATACAGGCACACACCCGTGTAATACACACAACACATAAGTATTGTGCACACACACAGGCACACTCACCCACATGCATACACACAACACAGAAGTCTTATTTTACTAGCCAATTATTCCTACTCTATACACGCTACAAATACTCTATTTCCTATACGATTGCTTTCTACTTCATTCCATTTAAAAGAAAGTGGTGACAGTTATGTATGCAAGTGATTTCATAATCCATGAGTGCACTGTGGGAAGGCTGCAGAAGGACTGGAGGGAGGAGGGGGTAACAAATGGTCATTTCTTCTGTTTGGTTGTCTTTGATTGACACTGCAGTGGTCATGACTGTAACTGGCTCACCTTCTTCTGCTTTTGGAATTAGCCTCCCCTGTATAAAGTTAAGTGGCAAATAAGTACTGACTGCCCCATCCTTGTCCTTCATAGGGCCTGAAGTCCCAATGTCACTGTGTAATACTTATGTCTGTGTAATATATGTAAAATATATTGTAAATATTTTCATACAGTATTTTAGTTGTGCAAACCTTAAAATAGCCAGGCATAGTGGCTTCCTCTTGTAATCCTAGCTACTTGAGAGACTGAGATCAGGAGGAGAGCAGTTCATGGCTAGACCTTCCAAATAGTCACTAAGGCCCCATCTCAGCCAATAAAAAAGCTGGGCATAGTGGTGAAAGTCTGTCACCCCAGTTACGTACACTGCATGAGTAGAAGAATCATGGTCCAGACATAAAGGTGACACCCTACTCAAAAATAACTAAAGCAAAAGGGACTGGTGGTGTGGCCCAGGTGGTAGAGCACCTGCTTAGCAAGCAATAGGACCTCAGTACAAATCCCACTATTGATAAAAAAAAAAAAAGACTAAAAAATAGAATAATATGATGACAATCTTATTCATATTCCAGCTGAAGAATAAAACAAGAGAAATACAAAGCCGGTTCCTGTGCTAGCCCTGCTGCTTGCGTCCTGTGTTGAAGCCCTAACTCCCAAGGAGCGGTGTTAGGAGGTGGGGCCTTTGGGATGTGATTTAGGTCATGAGGGTGGCACCCTCACCAAGAGTCCCCAGAGAGGCCCTCACTCATTCTGCCATGTGAGGACACTGCGATAAGACATCTGTTCATCCACGAAGCAGGAAACTGGCCCTCACCCAACACTGGACTTGAAAGCACAAGGACCTTGTACTACCCACCTTCAGAATGGTGAGAAGTAAGTTTCTGGTGCTTATAAGTTACCCAGCCCACAGGCTTCTGTTACAGCAGTCCAGGCAGAACGTGACAGCCCGTGTGCCTCTCCAATCCAACCCCTCTCTCTCACCAGACAGGGGACCTCCGTCCTGAGGCTGTCACTTCTCACTCCCATGCTCGAGTTTCACATTTTCTTACATATGTATTTGTACATGGTTTATTTTCACACAGGCTTATAATAATTTTATATACATGGAATCACATTGCATATATCCTTTTGTAACTATTTTTTGCTCAGATTATTTTTGGACATTCATTCATTATCCAGGTCATTCATTTTAACTGTCACCTGTTACTTCCTTGTAGGAACTGACCAGAGAGCCATCTGTTCATTCCTCTGACTAATGATCACTTAAACATTTTTTTTTAACAAACTGCAATGGACATTCTTGTACACTTCTAGGGCCTGTTCCCTCAGTATATAAATAGATGTTGACTTTCAGACAGGGAACAAGATTAAAAACATAAACAATCTTGGCACATACAGCTCTTATTAATATAATCACTGTCCCATTTTCATATCCAGGCCTACAAGTCTGAATTTGTTTCTGTTTAGTAAACAGAGCCTTAAAAGAGGACAAGGAGTCAGGCTTAAAAAAACAAAAATAAAAACTGAAACATCTGTTCCTCTTTGAAGTAGAGACGCAAAGCCAGCCTACAGGATGCTCGCTAATAGCTGCCGCAGTGTCTCAACTTGGATGGCCATGAACTCTTCTCTGCAAATGCTGCTCCTGCAAGCCTGGGGTGATGCTATGCCCTCACCCATAACTTCAGGAACAAAAGGTTGGCCCTGCCGGATCCATCTCAGCTGGGAGTTAGCAATCTTTTTCTTTCAGGGCTGGACAGTAAGTTATTTTAGCTATAGTCTCTGTTACAGCTGCTGAATTCTGCCTTCAGAATACAAAAGCTGCCATAAAGCTAAGGAGGCACAAGCTAAGGAAACTGGCTGTGTTCCAATAAAACTTTATTTACAAAAACAGACAGTGGGCCAAACTTGATGTGTGTGGTGGGGGGGGGGGTGGGACACAATTTACTAATCCCTATTCTAAATAGAAGGAAACAATTTAGCCTACCAACGTGCAGTTATAGTCAAAATTTAAACTCTGATTTGATATTCCCTGCTTTTAGATCAACACTATTCTGCAAACTAGTCCTGGTGAGAGAATAGGGAAACAAATATTTTCACATTCTGCTGGTAAGAATAGAAACTGAGGCATACTTCTTTCCAATAACTGAATAGGTGTGAGCCTAGTGTAGGCTGACTTACCCCACTAGGCACTGGGAGAAAATAAAGTGCATCTGCCTGCTGTCCTCAATCCCCACAGGCTGTGTAGACAGTTAGGACTGCTTGAAAGGGATGAGATGAAAACACCCCCACATCTCTTGCCAAAAACATTTGCAGAGGTAGGAATACCTGGTCAACATCAGCCACAATAAGTAAACATAAGTAATGTGACTAGCTAACTCCAGTATTATATATATGTGTGTGTGTATATGTGTATGTGTACACATGTGTATATATAGAGATAGGCTGTACTAGGGGTTGAATTCAAGGCCTTGCACTTGCTGGACTGGTGCTCTACCACTGGAGCCACGCCCCCAACCCTTTAGCTTCAGGTAGTTTATGACTGGGGTCTCACATTTACACCTGGCTGTTCTGGACATCATCCTCCTATTTATACCCATCTGGTTAAGATGACAGGCCTGTGCTACCACTCCCAGATTCTACTGGTTGAGATGGGGATCTCGAGAACTTTTTTGCCCAGGCTGGCCTCGAACCTGGATCTTCTCACTTTCCACCTGCAGAATAGCTAGCATTATAGGCATGAGTCACCTCACCTGGCTTCAAATACATTCTTAACTTCATGTCAGGATACTGTGGGTTAGAAGGATCTCAGTTCTACATTTACTGCCCGGGTGACCTTGAAAGAGTCTCTGTCTTCAGCAACAGCATCCTCAGTGTGGGTGGAGGCGGTAACAGTGCTTACCCAAAGACAACAGTCAGGAGCTGCCATGAACTACTGTCAGTAAAGCACCCCTGGGGATTGCATCTTAAATGTCACCCCAAGGCACCTTGCTAAAGACTTGATCACCAGCCTGTGGTGCTGTTGGGAGGTGGTGGATCCTTTAGGAGGTAGGGCCTAGTGGGAGGCAGTTAGCTTACTGGGGGCCTTTGAAGGGGATGTTGGGAGCCCAGCCCCTTCTACTCTCTCTTTTTGCTTTTCAGCCACCATGAGGTGAGCATCTCTGCTCCACCACGTGTTCCCCACTATGGTGCTCTGTCTTGCCACAAACCCAAAAGCAGCAGAGCCAAGTGACCATGGACTGAAACTTCTGGAACCGTAAGCCAAAATAAACCTTTCCTCCTTAAAGTTGATTGCCTGAGGAATTTTGTTACCATGACAGAAAGCTGACCTACACGTAGTAGGTTCTGCAAGCCAGCTGTGCATTTTCCCAGACTCACACCAGGGCTGGTCTGGAGACGTCAGGGTCTTATTCTCCAGGGAGGGGCCTCATGAGCTTCAGGGAGCAGACGTGCTAGAAGCATCATACTCAGCTCAGGTAACAGGAAATACAGATTATTCCATGCAAGCCTCAGACCCTTCACCCCGACCCCCAACTCCCACATCAATTCAATCCCCTATGACTCTTTGGAGACTATTAATTTCATGTGTCAATTTGACTGACCTACAGGTCAGTCAAAAAACCCCTGGGGTTTTTTTTTTTTTGAGGAGATTAACATTTAAATTGATAAGAGTAAAGTAGATTGCCTCTCTGCTGAGGATGGGCTTTATCCAATCAGATGAAGACCTGATTGGATAAAGAAGCTGCTCCTCCCTTGAGCAAAAGAAAAAATTCTTCCTAATGGCCTCCACCTAGAACATTGTTTGCCTCCTGCTTCCAGGCTTGAACCGAAACACAAGCTCTTCCTAGGTCACAAGGCTGCCAGCCGTCAGACTAGAATTTTACCATCAGCTTTCCTCATTCGGAAGCCCACGAACATGGACTTGAACTAAACCATGGACTTCCTTGGGTCTTGCATGCCCCCTGCAGCTCTTGGGACTTGTCGGCTTCCAAAGTGATGTAAGTCAATTTCTTATAATAAACTGTATATAGATGGAGACAGATATATGTACCTATGCATGCATACACACACATCTATCCATGTATTTGTGCTCTCAGCTCTGTTTCTCTGGAGAGCCCAGGCAAATACAGCCCCGTTCTTATCCTGCCCTGGTGGCTGTGGGTCCCAGTTGCCCGGATGATCTGCTCCAGGCTGCTGGCACTGCTATGCTGGGTGCCCTCTGTGATGAAGGCTGTGCTCAGCATCTTCTGACCTCTGAGACCTCTCCATGAAGCCTCCCACGTCCTCACCCCCTTTCCTCCCAGGACCACATCCTCAGCGCTCACGGGTACCACAACGGGCTTCCAACTTCCAACGCCCCCCACCTCACCTCCAGGCACGCATCGGAAACCATCTCCCTGATAGCCAGGTTTGCACTGGCACGTGAAGGAGCCTGGAGTGTTGTAGCAGAAGGCATCGGGGTGACATCGGCTGGGCTGACACTCATCCACATCTGCAAAATGGCCACAGGCCCAGGGACAGTGAGATTGCTTCCAGAATCTGTGGTTCACACATCATCTTTGCCACTTGCTAAAATATATAAAAACCTGTTTGTAATCTAGAAACTGTGACTTTAGACTCACTAAAAGTTAATTTCCAATACACTAAGTCCCTGATTTCTCTCTGGCACGTTTACAAACATGTTTCACTTTGGCAATAATGTCTTCATGCAAACTCAAGCCTGCCAAAGGAAAAAGAGGGTTCCTTTGCCTAGTGAGATGACCCCTCCTTCACAAAAAAAGAAGAGTTTCCAAAGCTCCTGAGGGTTTGGAGACAGATCAAGAAGTGCTGAACAAAAGTGACTCAGAGACGAGACACAATTCACATGTCCAGCAATGACTCCCATCTCAGAAAAACCTGGACTTTTCAGAAATACTGGACGGTGTAATGGTAAAGAACTCTGAAAACCGAGAACCCCAGGGTACTCACTCTGTTTGCTGGTTATCGTACCTAAAATTACTTTTCTGAGCACCCAGACACCCAAACTGTCCCCAAGTGTGCAAGGATTCTGTGACATCACTTATTTTCTGACTCTACAGCCATTTTTTCAGGAAGGGAACTTGCAGAAGGTTAGCGCAAAGCCAGTTGAATGACTGTATCTTTGTAAATAAAAGGACGGATGTTAAGCTCTGTGCACTCAGGGGCTGTTTGTGAAAGACGAACAAAGTCCCCAGTTCCCAGCAGACAGCAGGTGTCTGAGTGATGCTGGTATGAGCAAGTCCCATAGAACAAAACAGCCCGGGGAAGCCAGCGTCTTCTCCAAGGAGAAAATGCAGTTTTCTAGCTGCTCGACAGAGAGAAAGCAGCCTGCTTGCCCAACGGAGGTGGGCCGCTAATTCTTTCTTATTTTGGGGGAGAGGTGGTAATTAGCACACAGTAAGTGCCACCAGGAAACCTTTCAGGACACACAGAGGGAAAACTCAGAGTGACCATGCACCTTGGCAGGCTCGGCCGTCCCCAGAGAAGCCGGGCAGACAGGAGCAGGTGTAGGAGGAACCTCCCGTGTAGACACACTGGGCGCGCTGGGGGATGTCACACTCGTGGAGGCCAGTTGTGCAGTAATTGATGGGCCGCTGGTCCATGACAGCTTCGGAACAAAAGGTTAACACACACTGTTGGAAGAAAGCCCCTGGGCAGGCCGGCGACCCTTCTAAGCCCCTCCATACCAGCAGTTTGGTCCAGCGGGGCTCTGAAGGGGGGCCATGAATGAACCCCAGATCTCCACATATCTCTTGAGGCTTTGCCCCCACTCCCCTAGATTTCCTCCTGCTTCCTCTCTAGCACCGCCCCCCCCCCCACCCCAGACTGTGCCTCTGACAAGCCTTCCCAGACCAACAACCCAGCTGGCCATTCAGTTTGGCTTTCAACCTAGGTTTCACTCCAGGAGTCTGGCTCAGGACACTCTTTATGCCAGTCCTGTGACAGGCTCCGGCCCAACTGCCTTCATCTGGATATGGAGACAGGCTGTCTGCAGAGGCCACAATTCCCACGGTAACCCAGCTAGGGCAGCTTCAGGAGCCAAGGATCCGAGACCCACACGGTGACTGGAGCCTTGGGCTACTCTGGGAAGGTCGCAAACTTACTGCCTATGCCAAAGTCAAAGTCATCCACTTCCCAGCAGGAAAGGAGAAAAGAACTTCTCCAAGGTAGTGAGACAGGCATGCCTGGGAGCCTCTGGACCTTTGGGGCAGGCGACCCTGGGTTGACACCAGGTGTCCGTCCTGGGATTCAGGGCTTACTGCTCACAGCCTCATGTCCCTCCTGGGCAAACAGGAGTGGCTTCCATCATGCTAAACACAAGGAGACTAGCAGAGGGGGCTGCTGTTTTCCAATGGCCCTTATGACAGCGCTCACAGAATGAGAGCTGAGGAAGCAGGTGAGTGATATGGCTGGGGTGCTGTCCTACCTTGTGACCTGAGACAGAAGTCAGGGCCAAGGTCTTAAGTGTGCTTTCCATTGGCCAGGCCAGTTACTCTGGGCTCCACTGACAACCATTTGTTTCTAGTTTTCTGGAAGCACCAAGAGTCATATCAGGGTGTTCTCTGCACAGCCAGTCTCAAAGGAGCTGACTAACAGTGGTTGAGAACCAAGTAGGAGAGAACTGCCTGGGCCGCCAGGCAGAGAGAGAATTGAGACCCCTGATCTGGCCAGATCTTGGGGAGTACAAGGATTAACATGGTTTTCATCTGGGTTTTGAAGCAATGGAATCCATTATTCATACAGCTTGCCTGGGATTTGATATACAAAACAATAAGGCTGGGGGCTGGTGGCTCACACCTGTAATCTTAGCTACTTAGGAGGCTGAGATCTGGAGAATCAAGGTTCAAAGCCAGTCCTGGGAAATAAGTGGACCAAAAACAAAAAAGGAAAGAACAATGGAAGGCTGGAGGTCAGAGGGATGGGTAAGAGATGGTCTGTGATTTCCCTGTGCACTCTGACGCAGCACCAAGGTGGGATACACGGGAAGCCAACAATTATGACCAATAAATTGCTCACTCCAGATGGGGAGCTGAGGCCCGGAGGGGCACGGCCTCAGAATCAAATGTCTGAGAGCAGACACCTGCACAGCCCCCATTGTTCACCCTGTCCTGCCTCCCACTGAATGTGACATCAGGGATAGTGAGGCCAGGTCACCAGGCCTCCCCGACATATGTCTCAGGTTGGATTTCAGTGACTGTTCCCATCACTCAAGGGGTAAAGAGTCCACCACCCAAGCTTGAGCCAGCGTGAACAGTGTTGCATTAGAAACAAACTCTGGAGTCTTCTGCAGCTCAAAAATCAGAGAGGAAGTCAGGGCAAATGCACAGAAACTGATGCTCTCTACTGAGAGGAAAAAGAAGGAACTTCAGCAGAGCAAGTTGAAATCTCGGCCCTGTGTGAAGGGGACAGGCCTCCCGAGCTCACAGATGTTTGGGTCATGCTCAAAACATGAGAACTGCCTGTTCCTTCCCGCCCCGCAGACGCCACCTCGCCCAGGACCTTGGCTCTTCCTCCAAGCTTGGAGACAGAGCAAAGGCAACACACTCCAGGCTCAGGAAACAGTCAGGGGGAGCCAGGGGACACTAGCTGGTACAGCACAGGTGGAGACTGATTGAAGACAGGCAGCCATATTAAGGTCAGATGGCCCGTTCAGCATGCTGGCCTCCAGACCTAGAAATCTCCAAGAAACTTTGAACTTAAAATTCTGGGCACCAACAAGTCAAAGTACAGCAAGTAGGAAAAAGAGGGAAAGCTGAAATAATCCGGTTCTTTGTGATTGCCCCAACATCATCATCACCCAAACCATCAGCGATGACAGCATGATTACAACTTCAATACGGCTAAGAAGTCAAGCTGCAGCTTGTGGTCTATAAAAAAATGGCTCCCAAGTGGATCTAGCTGTAACTCAGGTAAAATTCAGCCTAGTGGCATAAAAATGTCTAGAAGGGGCTCCTTCATCTTGAATCCCAACACTGCTAATGACAAGGAAGAAGCAAGTCTAGCAGCTTTAATAACCATCCAAAGTATACTGAGTCTGGTGCCAGTGGCTCACCCCTGTAATCCTAGCCACTTGGGAGGCTGAGATCTGGAGGCTCACAGTTCAAGGCCAGCCCAGGCAAATAGTTCATGAAACCTCCACTTCCAAAAATAACTAGAGCAAAATAGACAGGAGTGGCTCGAGTGGTAGAGTGCCTGCTTTAAAAGTGAAAAGCTTTTGAGTTTTAACTCCAATCGGTCCCACCAAAAAAAATGAAGAAAATATACTGAAAGTAATCGGAAGAAGGTTGTAAGAAGCAAGCACAATGCAAAGCTTGCAGCCGTGGCGCAGTGGTCCTGGTGCAGTTAACAAGAACCTCCACGCGTGTCTCAGGCAGGTGGAGGGTGCAGCCATGTCTGATTCACCTGTGAAACAGGCTCTTCCAGGCTGGGGCAGCAGCATCTGTTTCTAAAGCAGGATCACGACCTGCGATAATTCCCTTCCCACGGAGCTAGCATGCACCACGAATACGTTTTGAAAAATCACCGGGGGAACTTACCCACGCAGGTCCCCTCGTCCGAAAAGCGGTAGCCCTCCACGCACTCGCATCGGAAGGTTCCTGGGTGATTGTTGCAGATTGCGTGGCTCCCGCACACAGAGGGCTGTTCTGAGCATTCATCGATATCTGAAGCAAATTGTTGATAAATGCACGCTTTTTTAACCTCTTCAACATCACTGAACAGAACAGAAGGCATTTTTCCCAGGCAGGGGTCAATTCTAAGATCAATTTTTCTCTATCCCAGAAGTATGGGGAATAAAGCTTTCTTTCCCTGACGTGTGTCTTACACAGCAACCCCCGGCCCTTTTAAACAAATGTGCTTCTTCCTGCATCTCTTCTGGAGCCAGTGACCAAGTCACTCCCATCAAAGACACGTTAGAAGGACAGAGGAACAAGTGTCCAGACTTTGGAGAAGGCTCCTAAACTTGAGAGCATATTTAAATATGTTGTTTTAAAAAAATGTGACCTTTCTCCAACTGTAATTATGAAGAAAAAGCTGGATAATTTAAGGCCTAATTGTGAATTTTGGAGTGTCACCAAGAGCACAACGGACAAAAAGCAAAGTTATTAACTCAGTAGTGTGATCATACCAAACCACAGCCATCACCTCAGGTAACAGAACAAAAACATAGGCTTTGAAGTCGAACAGAAGCAGGTTCAAACCTTACCTTCTTTAGTTACTAACATGTGGGGTCTTGGGCAAGTGACGTAACTACTCAGCATCAGTTTCCCCATTAGTAAACAAGCATAGTAAGACTCATCTTATGGGCTCCTCTGAGGTTTACGGAAAATGGATAAAGGCCAGAGGAGCACTCAGCACACTCAGGACACACAGCTCTGATTGTACTCATTAGGCACTGATCGTCTACCCCAGCATGGTGACAGATTTGGTGGATTCTGGGAACACAGTCCTGAAATGAATGGTCACAGCTCCGGGGCCAGTCTGCGCCTATCACTAGTGTAAGGCTGATTGGCCAGGAGGAGGAACTGTGGCAACCTCTCATTGCCATGGTTACCTGTCACTGCCAGGTTGAAATGAACAATCACACAAGGTTCTTCCCATGCGTGCCTCAGGCTCAAAGGGCTCCACCCTCCTGAGAGGTGTATACAGAGAGCTTAATAAGGGCTGAGACCATTCAGCCCCCTTGGCTCTGAGCATCTCCCCAGGGTTTTAACATGAATCTTTGACACCTATGAGACAAAAGTCTCCTGCGTCCACCTCCGATGGCCAGTCTAGCCAGTCCCCTCACTGGAGGGGCCAATGCCCTGCTGCCATGTTCTTGGGCGACGCTGCACAAGACAGGCATTTTTGTAATATCAGCCCCATATTTGTTTGGTACCCAGGCAAAAAGCCAGATGACTATTCTTCAACTTGAATATATACTGAAGTGTGTGCATGTGTGAAGAAGTACTTAAGACAGAGGATCTCAGGCAAGAGGACGGTGCCAGGCACAGCCGGAGGGTCACAGAACACCACAAGCTGCAGCTGGGACAGGGGTCACACAACAAGAGGCCCTCATGGCTCCATCTGCTCCCCCAACACGGGAGTAAGCACTTCCTGTGCACACGGCCTTACTTCCACACCTCTTAGGACCTCCCTGCTGGTGTCTGGGCATGCCGTTCTGCTGCCAAAGCACTGAGCAGAACAGCAGCTTCCAACCAAGGCGACAGAGCCAAATCACCAGGGAGCCTTCCAAGCCCCCTTCCTCCCTGGAAAGGTCTGTGGAGGGGAGGCGTGTTCTGAAAGTGCTCCTGAGGTGATCAGGCTCCCCACACTCCTGACCCACAAAACCACAGGCCAAAAGGACCGGGGGGCACAGGATGAAGGAGGGTGGCCCTTTTCCTTCAGGGCCCCCATGGCCATGCAGGTCCTCAAACCCGAGCCAGCTGGATGACACCTTTTCCATAGACAAGACTAGCAATTTCCTTGCTGATATCTTGTGGTCCCTCAAGCTTGGATTCTTTTCCTAACGTATAATTTAAATCTTCTCTTCTGTAAATTGAGGCCAGGAGCTTCATCCTTTCTTTAAGGGGAATGGTGACCTGGTAACTATGGCAACCGTCTCATGGCACTGTAGTGTCTTCCTGAAGCCAGTACTGTTCTTACTGCTCGACCTCCACGCAACCTCATATCCAGAAAGACATGCCCTTCACAGCCTCAAACAGGAAAATCCTGGATGACTACTTTTAACTTTTTTCAGAGTGACAACTTTTCACATATTTTCAGCGATTCTGTTTCTCCAATTTGTCCCTTTTTATAAAGGCCAGGCTCTTTGAGAAGAGTCTCAGTGTGGATTTGTTAAATGCCTTCTATATGCTCAAAAATTACTCACTGAGGGACTAGCCACAGCGTCACCACAGATTCTGAACTGAGATCTAAATGGGCTCCACTCTGCCACGCAACTGAAGGTGCATCACTGAGTTCTGGGGCTCAACTGAGACTGTCTTCCACGTTACCTGGGAGGCTCGTGGTAAGGTGGCTAGCCAAAACCAGCCTCGGTTTGGATGTCAAGCATCATTTCATCAACACTACAGGCACTGAATCACAGGGGCTTACTCTCATCCCTCTCTCAGGCACCTCCCAGGTCAATACAACACAGGAAGCCACCTGCCTAATGAATATCATTTGCTATGAAAAGCCTCATGTCCTGCTGCATTAACACTCTCAGGCATGTCCTAGTGACCGGGAACAATAAGAAGCCTGGTGGGAATATCCCCACATTCCCCAGAGCTAATATTCCAGAATAATGGCTGACCACAGGACAAAAGCCAGTGCACATATCACCACCTGGCTTCCTGGTCCAGGACAGCTGAGATTTCCTGAAACAGACCGAATGCATAAAGCATGGCCGACTGGACCTTCTGAAGTGGGATAGTCCCTCTATGCCAAGTGCAGGCACCAAGAGGTTTCAGCCAGAGGCCACAGGTCAGCAGCAGCACAGTGGGGATCTCTGTGCTCCACTGAGATACACAGGTGGCTTATGGAGTTAGCAGGCTGCACAAAGGCTGAGGAGGTGTGGGGCCCCACCTGGGCCAAGACTACCACATTCTTCAGAGGAAGACTGAGCAGGTGGCAATGACAGGCAAGCAGACGCTGTGTCCCCTCTGCGGTGCTGTTACCAGGAGGGTGAGATGCAGACTGAATCCACCACACGCACAGTTACCGGCAAGCCAGCCAAAGCACTGCATGCCCTGTTTCTGTAGCTGTGCTCTCTCTGGTGTTGAGCACCCCGCGTGGAAGGGTCACTGGGAAGCAAACGCCATGGGCCCTGCTTCAGGACTGCTGACCTCTGCATTAAATCAGCACACCGAAGCTGCCCCTAGTCACTGGAGTGAGAGAATTCCATGCCTAAGGCCTTATTCCAAATGCCAAGGCAGCTGCAACTGCCAATTCTTACTCCCCAGCCAGGCACAGATGGGGGAAGTTGCCCATCTTGCCAGCCAAACACATGTAAACACAGTCCTCATTCCACTGGGGAAACTGGTTCCTTGTCCTCCTTGATGACCCTTTGCTGCTGCAGACCAAGTAGCACTACTCAAGTGCCTGACATTCCTGCCCGTGGTAGTGACTAAATGACAGCTCAGTAATGGATAAAGATGAAGTCACAGAATTATCGAGCTGTCCACGTGAACGTCTTTGAAGTTAAATTATAAATAATAAAACAGCACTGAAAGAAGGCAGTGTAACACAGGTACTTAGTAAGAGACTTGAGTTCAAATGTTTGGTTTTTTTTTTTGTGGTACTGGGGTTTGAACTCTAGCCCTACATTTTGAGCCACGCCACTAACCCTTTTGTTGTGAAGGGTTTTTTCGAGATAGGGTCTCCCTAACTACTTGCCTGGACTGACTTTGAACCGCAATCCTCCTGATTGCTGCCTCCTGAGTAGCTAGGATTACCACTGGCACCCAGCAGTGCAAATGCTGTTTAATGAACCTCAATTAAGATGCCACTTCTAGGGCTGATGGAGTGGCTCAAGTGGTAGAGCTCCTGCCTAGGAAGTGTGAGGCTCAGAGATCAAACCCCAGTATCACCAAAAAAAAAAAAAAGTGCCACTTTTATGACTTAAAAAATAACAAGTATTGTCAAGGATACAGAAAAACTGGAACCTTGTGCATGGTAGGTGAGAATGTAAAATGGCACAGCCACTGTGGAAAGCACTGTGGGTGTTCCTCAAAAAAATCAAACATAGAATTACAATACAATCCAGCAATCTCACTCTGGGGTGTACACCCCAAAAGAACTGAGAATAGAGACCTTAAGAGGTATGGGGACACCTACATTCATGACAGCATTATTGCAATAGCCAAAAAGTAACTGCTACCCACGTGGCTGTGATGGATGGATGGGTACCGAGATGTGGTATATATGTACAATGGAATATTACTCAACCTTCAAAAATAAAAGAAACTCGCTCACCTAGATCCTGGATGAGCCTTGAAGATATTATACTATGTGAAAGAAGCCAGTCACAAGAGGACATATTATATGGGATTCCACTTACGTGAGGTTCCTAGAACCATAACATCCATAGAGACAGGGTAGAATGGTGGTAGCCAGGAGCTGGGGGAGGAGGACTGGGGAGTTGCTATTTAACGGGCACAGAATTCTGGAGATGGGTGGTGGTGATAGGTGCATGCAATGTGCACACGCATTACTTAATACCACTCAACTGCACACTTAAAAAAATAATTACAATGGAGCCAGCTGTGGTGTTGCACACCTGTAATCCCAGCACTTGGGGTGGAAGCAGGAGGAACGTGAATTCTAAGGCCAGTCTGGACTACATTGTGAGACCCTATCTCAAAAAAGCCAAGGGCTGGGCATTGGTTCAGTGGAAGAGCACTTGCCTAGCATGGGCAAGGCCCTAGGTGCAATCCCCAGCACTCCTCGCAGCCCCCGTCAAGAAAATTAAAATGGTAAATTTTACGTTATGTGCATTTTGCGATACAACTGAATTTTTTAAAAAAGCACAGACGAATGAATTCTGTCATTGGAGTGCTGGAGAATTAAAGGAGATGGTGTTTGCGAAGTCCTTAAGGCAGCAGAGCCTGGGTAAACCACAGCTCCAGCTGCGTGGCTAGCATCCTCAGCCGCAGCTCTGATCTTCACCTTCCTCTGAGCCTTTGCCCCTGAAGGTCCAGCTCTTCTGAGGTGGCAGCTAGGGTCCTGCTCTGCCACTAAGAGTCAGCACGTTAGAGCAGAGGGAAGAAAGGGTGGTCCCCTGGGTGCCCCCGAGGGGACAGCAGCTGTGTGACGTGACAATTCAGGCATCTGTATCTCTCCCTGGCTTCCTTTCCTCTCCCAGAGCTCCAGTCTCCAGAACCTGGGTGCTTCCTCCTAGGCGACCCCCGTCCCCAGCACCTTCAGAACGAAGCCCTACCGTGGCAGGTCCTCCCGTCTCCCTGGAAGCCAATGGAGCACTCGCAGATGAACTGAGTCCCAGGGCCGGGGCGGCAGGCCGCGTTGGTGTCACATCCATGAGTGCCGATGTAGCAAGGATTCTGAAGTGCGTCTGGGGAGCCCTCTGTGAAGGGAGACATTGGAACCAGTCAGTGTCAGGACCTCTGGCAGGCCTCCTCTGCCACAGGAAGTAAGTCGTGCTGGTGACCAGGGTGTGGCTGCAGGAGAGCAGAAGGGGGAACCAGCCACCTCCTGTGTTGGAGGGACCTGCAAACTCTGCCTTTCTGTAAGTAAAGTTTCTATAAATAAAGTTTTATTGGCAACCTGCCCTGCTCATCTGCTTAGAGATGGTCCACGGCTGCTTTCCTGGGTCCATGGCAGAACTGGGATGTCTAGGGCTGGCACGGGCTACAAGATCTACTACCTGGTCCTTCGAGAAAAGAATGTGGGGCTGGAGATGGGGCTCAAGTGGTAGAGTGCTTGCCTAGCAGGCAGAAGGCCCTGAGTTCGAACCCTAGTATCACAAAACAACAACAACAATAATAATAACCACTTAAGCCAGGTATAGTGGTTCACGCCTGTAATCCTAGCTACTCAGGAGGCAGAGATCAGGAGGATCTCTGTGGTAGGGTGTAGTTAGTGAGACTCCAGCCAACACAGGTAGCATAAAAGGGAGGATCATGGTCCAAGTTGACCCAAGCCAAAAAAAGCAAAAAGAGAAAAAAAAAAAGTGAGACCCTATCTGAAAAATATCTAAAGCAAAAAGGGCTGGAGACTTGGCTCAAGTGCCTGTGTAGCCAGCCTGAGGTCAAGTTCAAGCCCCAGTACTGCCAAAATAAAAAGAAAAGAATGTGCTGACTCCTGACATCTAGAGCCATGGCTGTGGAAGGGGACAGCCCTCCCGCCTCACAGAGCCAAAGAGGAGAAAAATGACTGCTAGGGAAGTCCCTTGGGTGTACAGTTGGAACCAAAACCACTGGAAAAAGGGACCCAGACCCCTGTGGAGTCTAGACTGGGATAATGTGAATCCTGACACTGTCACAGCAGCTCTCTGGTTGACAGCCCCGTCCCCAGGCCTGGGTGGTGGTGTGTAGTCACAGGACCAGACTTCATCTTGGGCTGTGTGCCTGGTTTTAGGTAGCCTTTCTCAGGCCCTAAGCACACAGTTTCTTTCAAGATGGAGTACTGGTGTGTTTAAAAAGCCCCGCCATGGGGTGAATTCATGTATGATAGGTCTGCTATATTGTTAAGAACTTTTGTAAGTGCCACAATGTACCCTGAGCACAACAATAAAAAAAAATTTTAAATCCCCCTATGAATGGATAAAGAAAATGTGGTCTATTTAGTGTAGGTCCCGAGTTCAAACCCCAGCACCACAAAAAAATAAAGGTATTTTACGTGATTTTCTCCTATAGACTGAGAGCGAAAGACCAAAGTCCTGTGTGAAAGAGAGACTTTTTAACACACACAGCAGCAAGCGGCGTCTGGGGCACGGCACGAGGGGCCAGTGGCTCCGCACCTCTCACAGGCCCGATGGAGTTGCTGAGAGCGTAGCGCAGGACCCTTTCCTCCTGGTTGTACAGAACGAACACACTGTCCACCGAGAGCTGCTGGGTGCTGGGCAGGGCCGGCCGGGAGTCATCGTGGACACACTCCTGGAAGGTGACGGTCTGGCGCCACTGGTAAGTGTGGGTGCGTGAAGGTGCTGCCCCGTCCTGCCCGGGCTCGGTCACCGTGTACTCCCGGGTGGAGGAGGAAGTGATCACTGGGATATGGGAGGGAACAAGGGGACAAGGCAGGGGGACACAGGAGAGAAGCTTCATCACAGGGTTTGGACCCATCAATGGCACTCCCTGCTCAGAATGCAACCTTCCAACAGGCCGAGGACAGCTGGAGGACAGTTTAGTGGTGTTGGGATTCCTGCTGTTTTCGGCATTTGCCACACCACAGCTGGCAGCATTTGTACCAGCAATACTTGCTTTTTGTATAAGGTGGTTCCCCTAAGTTCCCAGGGCTCCCAGAGCTTCAAATTAAGGGCTGGGGGTGAGAGCAGATTCTTAGGAGACCCACCCAAATTCATCCTCGACCACTTGCAAGCTGCGTGGGCCACCAGCCTGGCACAAGTAGCTTTCGCTTCAGTTTCTTTTTCAAAAGGGATTGAGATGAGGCTTTGATAAGATAATACACTGTAAAATTTCTGAAATCAAGCAGATCAATACCATGGCTGGGATAGACCATTAACGGAGCACTTATGTGTGACTGGCAACATGGAATACTTTATCTCACTTAGGGTTCGATAAAGAGCGATCGCTCCAAGCCACCCTACACTAAAATGTTAAAAAATGTTAAAAAATGAGATGGGTTTTAGCAGCCAGTTTTGGAGAACTAGCTAAAGCTCCATGTACAAACCTCAGCAGAGGAGGCAAAGTCTGCCTTCCCTACTCAAAGGGAGAGCTGTTTGCTATGGGACAAAACTTCAACTTTCTACTGAAAAAAAAAACCAGTATAAAGCACTCTTTATATTTTGTGCTCTCTCTGCTGCACTTTGCAGCATAAGGGAAGCCTGAGAGGAGAGGATAAACACCAGAGCAGTGTGAGCTGCCTCCATCCAGCTCCCCTGTGCTGGCTGCCAGGAGGCCATCTGGCTGCAGCTGGGCTGCTGACCTCCATCCCGTTGCTTCTTCCCCCATCTCATCCCCCAGGTGGACAGGGCAACCAAGCTGCAGAGCCCTGGCCATTAGCACTGCCATTCTGGACCACAATTTAACCAGAGCCTTCCGAAAGTTCCTATTGTTTAACTAAGCACCTGACCAAGATTTCTGATAAACACAGTCATTTCAAGCCATGAGAGATGGAACGGACCTCAGCTTTGTCGCAGAGTTGGATGGTTTATATTAGTAGCCACCCAATAGAATCAGACAGATTCCTTCTCCAAAGTCACTTAATGAAACCAATAAATATTCACGATTTGATGTTTACCAAAAAGGTAAAGATTCAACAATGCAGTATGACTGCAATTTCATTTAAATAAAACTGATACACCTTGCTGGGCGTCAACAGCTCATGTGTAATCCGTTACTTGGGAGGCTGAGAGCAAGAGGATCAAGGTTTAAGGCCAGCCTGGGCAAATCATGAGCCTTCATATCCAAAATAACCAGAGCCAAATGGACTGGAGGTGTGGCTCAGCAGTACAGTGCCTGCTTTGCAAGCACACAGCCCTGAGTTCAAACCCCAGTCCCACGAAACAAACAAACAAAAAATACACCTGTAGATTTATAGTCATATTGTATTAATGTTGAATTTCCAGATTTGATCAATACAACGTGGCCATGTAAGAGAATGACCTCGTTCCTAGGAAACCACAGGAAGTATTTAAGGACGACTATCAGGATGTATGCAACTTAATTTGGCAGGCTAGGAAAAAAGTTATACACATAAACTCCGTATGTGTGGAAAAATGTAACAATTAGTAAAACTGCACAAATGGTCCGTGAAAATGCTTTGTGCTCTTTAAGTTTTTAAGTTGAGATTAGGTACTGAATAAGAAAATAAATGTAATAACAAAAACTCCATATAAATGGATATTGGAAGAAAATTATATTATTTTATCTTGAATTATATATCATTTAGAACATGTGATGTAAACACAGATGACAGACGCTGGGAGAAGGCTAGAAGGAAATACTCTTAAATTCAATAGATGTGTTCAGGCTTACAATCCCATTACATTCTGTTTTGCTCTAAGCTCTCTCTACAAGCGTGTCCTATCACAATAATATGGGGGGACTGTAACAAGGAGAGGCCTTATGTCCTTCTTTTTCCAAACCCTAGAGATGGCCCCATGCCTGGAAAGCCACGGTGGTGGGTCAGGAGGATTCAGCAATGTGGGGCTGTCCCTGAGTCACAGGTCTGTCCCTGGGGTACAGAGCTGTCCTTGGGGAGTGGGCGCTGTCCTGGGGTACAGAGCTATCCCTCGAATACAAGACTATCCTTGGGGCATGGGGCTGTCCCTGGGGTTTCAGGGCTGTCCCTCGGGTGCAGAGCTGTCCTGGGGGTCACCAGGCTGTCACTTACCCGAGCTGGAGTAGTGGTAGAGCTCTGTGTAGGGCTCGATGTGCACCGAGGAGCCGTACGGGATGAGTGGCACACGGCCCTCCAGCTCTGTGCTGATGGTCAGGTGCCCGTGTTCATCAATGCCACTGAACTGCTGTTTAATGACCAGCTTGCCTGGGTGCCCCACGAAGGTCACCTCAGCCTGCCGGTTGAACTCACCCCCTGGAAAGTGAGATAGGCCTGTCAACTGCTGTCTGACCAGCACCCCCTCCTGTTAGCCCTCCTGAAGTGGGGGATGGGCAAAGACTTCCTCTGCAGGTGCTTTAGTTTGGTTGCTAGAACATGGGGCTGGGGACACTGAGGACTAAGCCTGGACCTCCATGTGGTCCAATTGAGCCATACACACAGAAGAGAAGCTGCTTCTGAGCCAAAAACCAGCATTGGCAATTTATGGACTCATGGGTTATGCCAAACAAAAAAGCAGGGACCCTGGGTTTAACTCCCAGCTGCACTAGGTACTGGCTGGGTGATGTTGAACAAGTTGCTTACTTCCCCTGAGTCTACCGTTCCAGATGATAAAAGGGGATACAATCTAAACTGGGCATGGCGGGGTACACCTGTAATCTAAGCACTGAGGAGGTTGAGGCAGGAGGATTGTGAGTTCCCTAGGCTACACGGTGCAACTCTGCCTCAGAAAGTTTTCTGTAAATTATTGAGTGCTCCAAGATGTCCACTGTGGAGATAGTTATTAAAATAGCTTAGTAAGTCCTGATCAGGATGGGCCGGTAGCTCAGGGTACGTCTGAACCCTGTTCTGGAAACCATCCAAGGATCACAAGCTCCAGTGTTGGCTTGGCCTGTGCCATGCAGCAGCCCAGACATGGAGAAAAGCCTCCCCCTCTTCCCAGTGTCTTCCCTTTTTCATAAGGCATACTACTACCATAGCAGGGGTGAGCACACCATGGCCCCAGGTGTAATATAGGGCTGGCTGCTTGTTTTTATAGAGCTCTTAAGCTCAGACTGGTCTTCACATTTTTAAATGGTTGAAAAAAAGAGAATGTTATTTCATGATCCATGAAAAACATATGGACTTAATTCATATGTTTTTATGAATTCAATAAATAAAGTTTTATTGAACACAGCCATGCTCATCCATTTGTGCGTTGTCTATGGTTGCCTTTGCTAAGCAATGAGTGTTAAGTAGCAGCAACAGAGACTGAAGCTTAAAACAGTTATTATCTGGCCCTCTGCAGAAAACAGGTAAAATCCCCTGCTATATAGTTACCCAAATTTCAGGGAGATACCTGGGAATGTAAGAGAGACTCTTGCAGTTACAGATTTGCTGGTGTGGCAAATATGAAAGTGTCACCCATTTAGATAAACCCACATACAAAGCAGCAGCCCACCATATTTGCAAAGGCATGAGTGTCGTTCTAATGCTCCGAATGCAATGCTTGTGGAGGAGGGGCAGAAAACACCAGGCCAAGAACTAGCACAGCGTACAGGCAGGTTCACCCCTTTCCAAATGTATATTCTCTCCTTTCTCAAAAAAGGCCCCGCTTCGGGGAGTTAAGCATTCACACTCAGGACCTTCAGAGGGTGAGCAGGGTAAAGGTTAGCCATGGCTGTACCCAGCAGTGTTCCACTAACCAGCCAGGCTGAGCCTCTAAGTGCCTGAGAAGGGGGTGGGAAACACTAGGGGGCCCTAAGCCCAGCATACAGGCTGTGGGTCCTGGAAGTGACGAGAGATGCAGGTCAGATCAGCTGTTCCCAGAACACACCAGGGCAGGGGGCGCTGGCCTTGGCCAAGCAAGGGAGGCTCCACCATGGCACAGAAGAACCATCCCCCAAACATTGTGGCTACACATCCACAGAAGACTCAACCTTCCTCGACAGGGTGTGGCCTCTAAGAACCTGAAGGGTTTCCTAAGACTCATGAGGACGACTTTTCTCAGGCTTCACTTGGCAGCTACAGGTGGCAGGTTCCTCGTCTCTGATGTCAAATGTCACTTTCAGATGTCGGGAGGAAGTGTAAGTTGATATCCCTCACTCTGCAGAGACTTCTAGATCTCCACCAAGAAACCCTTCCCTGGCCAGAGCACACTTCTAGGAGGTGTAAGTTAAAGAGCCTGGGATGCATTAATTTCCCTCATCACTTATTTCAAGGGAAGAACGAGAGGCCCCTCTCTCTACAGCTGGGAATGATGTCCCTCCATCCCTTCCCAGACCTCCCGGGGCACCACCACAGGGCCTGTTAATGTTCACGTTGGTTGTAAATTACCAGTCATGCTGAACCCATTCTTGAATCCGTCCTGCTCCACTGCGAACATCCACCCAATGATGCCTCCGATGGGCGCCAAGGAAGCAGGGAGTACCCCAGGGTCTCGGGGATGGTGCTGATGGCCGTGTAGGAGCGGCCATGGTTCATCACCACGTACGAGTGCAGGTCGGTGTTCTCAAAGACCACGGGCACCTGGCTGCTTCCCACGAAGATCCTGCCCTTCACCTTGCCATTGACACGCTGCGGGGAGCCTGAAGCCAGAAACAAAGGAAGAAGGTGGAGACGGCTTCCAGCCTTCCAGAGGAATGCGTCTGGTGCCAGCCATGGGGCAGATGAAGGAGCTGTGCCCGTGACGATGCCACTGGGACATCAAACATCCCAGTGGATCCGCAGGCAGACACCTAATGGCCCTGGGAACCTGCTGCATTTGGCTGGCTGACCTACAACACGCCTCAGGTTCAAACACAGTCTCCCTGCTCTGGCTCAGGATGGACAGGCTGAGTCCTGGAGCCTCAACCAGCATGGGCCAGAGAGCTGTGGGCAGTGAACATCGCAGGCCACAAGGACAGGCCCTCTGAGGAGGACCAGCTTGTGGCCGGAGACTGTGTGCGTTGTTGATTGTTCTGTTTAGACAAGTGGGATCAATGTGACTGAGACCTAACACAGCAAATGTAAAACCTTTCTTAATAAATAACATGTTAGGATACTATTTCTGCTTTAGAAAAAAAATCACATTCATCTAAACTGTTAGCACCCCCCCCAACCGGGGAGGAAGCCACTGGCAGTGGTTAAGTCAGAGGACGATGGTGAATGTTCATTTTCCATACTGTGTACTTCCACAGCGTTCAAATGTTTATTACTGAGAATATTTATTATTCAGTCAGGAAGAGTAAGAACTCGAAGTTAAGTTGCTCTCACTGTATTCAAATAAGGAAACTGAAGGTTACCAGTAATCCCAATTCCTTGGTACATATCCAAGAGAATGGAACACACATGTCCACACAAAGACTTTGCACAGATGTCCTCAGCAGCTCACTCGTAATGGTTAAGAAGGGAAGCAGCCCCAGTGTCCATCAAGGCATGAACAGACGGACAAAATACAGTCTACCATCCATGGGATGTTATTTGTCTAGGAAAAGGACTGAAGTACTGACACGTGCTGCTCCTCGTGGGTGGACCTTGACAGCACTGAGCTAATGAAAGAAGCCAAACACAAAGGGCCACCAGTCAACCCATGTGTGTGAAATGTCCACAATGGGGACTCCATGGAGATACAATTTAGACTAGTGGCTGATGGGCAAGGTGACTCTGGAGAATCAAGAGTGACTGCTAGCTGGGTACCAGTAGCAGGGTCACGCCTCTAACCCTAGCTACTCAGGAGGCAGAGACCAGGAGGATCATAGTTCAAAGCCACCCTGGGCAAATAGTTCATGAGACCCTATCTCAAAAATACTCAACACAAAACAGGGCTGGGGGAGCGGCTCATGTGGTAGAGAGCGCTTGCCTGGCAAGCATGAGGCCCTGAGTTCAAATCCTAGTACCATACACACACAAAACAAAGTGACTGCTAATGGGTAGAGTGTTTGTTTCTGGGGTGATGAAAGTGTTTTAGAATTAGATACAGTAGATATATGAACAACTTGGTGAATATATTAAAACCCACCAAACTGTATGTATTAAAATGGTATGTGAATTATATTTCAAAGAACAAAAACTAAAGGAAGATGATAAGTGAAAGATAAGACACAGGTCACCTTGGATTGCTTAGTTCGATGTAGCATTAAATTCTACCAGCTGTTACTTATTACCTTATTTATCTTCCTGGCTACCATCTTCCTAGGAAGACTTTCACCCATCCTCCCTCCCCACCCACCCCACTGCTCCTTATGTGTTCTTGGCAATTTTCTTTGCACAGTAACTTCTCAGTAAATACTGTTGTGTAATACTACAGGTGGGCTTGTACCTGGAGGTCATCTGTGTTCTAATGACCTTTTGCCGTGTTTGCTGTGTCCCCATTGCTAATATGACCAGCAAATTGACACAGGGTAATTCTGCACCCACACTGTGTCATTACACTGGGGAACACTGTGAACTTGAGGCTAACAGCGAAAAAATTCATCCCAAGAACAATTACAGAAACAAGCAAGAAAGCCAAGTTTAGGACATCGAACAAAATGTTTTCCACCAAACTTTGGGCCAAAAAAATACTTTAAGTCACAAGAATCTAACAAATATTTAAACCACAAAACTATTCCAGGGTGTGTACCTAATGTCAAAATTGGTGGAATTTGAAAACCAGCTTGTCCTATCTGCTTATGAACAACTGCTCAGGAGGTTGACTCTGGTGGCCGCGGGGAAAAGAGATAAGGAAGCTACTGGTAAGAAGAGTTTTCGGCTTTCACTGTGGATTCTGGAAGCTTCTCTCAGGGTGGAGAGGCATAAAAACCAAGCCTCAAACAAAGAAGCAAAGACATGCCATCCCTGGGGTGAAGTAAAAAACATACCCTTCAAATTCATGTGAATAATATACTACATTTTCTTCCATTTCTGAAGGAAGTATTTTTAAAATCACTCTTTCAGTATGACCCAGAAGGGATTTTTTTTTTTAGCAAATTAAAATGGCAACTGATTCAATAGTAGCAAGAAATTTGAAAACCAGGACACGTTTTTCCAACTGGGTTTCATTTAAGTTTTGCAAAGCAGTTGAAGTTTCCCATTGAGCACACAAGGAAGGTGACTAAGATGAGAGGCAGTTTGGGAAGAAAGGCCAATGTGGTAGGTTTTGTTGTTTTTGCTTTAATTCTGGCTGATGTCCCAAAGGCCAAGTGAACTTTTACCAGAACCCCTAGGCTTGCATGGAAAAAGATTCCTCCAGCCATCTGGGAGCCTGAGGACTGGCTGATCTTTTGGGGGGCAGAGTTCAGAGCTGACCTCAGCCACCATGCAATCCACCTTAAGAGTTACCCCCACTGTGGTTTTGGTGTTCTAAAATTAACTGAGTACACCCCTTCAGATCCACCCCAGCCTTGCTAAGGGACAGGAAGAAAGAAGAAGGGAGAGGGAGGATGGTTGGAATAAACTGGACTCACAACAAACTTGTCTAAGCCAGCTTTCTGTGACCCTACCAAGTTTAACAACTATTAAAAGAGTTAGGTCTGAGCTGGGCATGGTAGTTCATACCTGTAACCCTAGCTACACAGAAGACAAAAGTAGGTGGACCTCGGATTGAGACTCACCTTGGGCAAAAACTAGAGACCCTGTCCGAAAATTAACTAAAGCAAAAAGGGCTGAGGCATGGCTCAAGTCATAGAGTGCCTGCCTAGCAAGGGTGAGCCCTGAGTTCGAATCCTCTCCCCTCCCCACTGCTGCCTCCCCCAGAAAGTTACATCTGTGAGTAATGGCACAAAGAACCGGAGAGACTTAAGCCAGGTGTGGGTGGTGCATGCCTGAGGCCAGCCTGGGCCACACAGTGAGACCCTGTCTCAAAACAACAAAGAAATAAACAAAAACTGGAAGACACTATGTCCAAAGACATGGGGGGGCGGGGGTGAAGGAAAATGAGGGGCTGGGATTGCTGTGTGCCTGGAGCCCCTGTGAAGATGGGCTCCCAATGGCGTCACCCGGGAGATGGAGTAGCACAGGGAGGAAGACCCAGGAAGACCCACTAGAGGGTACCAGAAAGAAGGAGGGATGAGGTGACACTGCGCTGAAGCCCGGGCAGAGCCCACACGTGTAACAAGCAGCAAGGCACAGCGCCATCTGTCCTCGCCACCGCTGAGCCCGCAAGCAGGTTACCTTCTGCCACGCACTGCCTGCCGTTGCCCGTGTAGCCGGCCACGCAGCTGCAGCAGAAGCCGGTGGCGTGGTCCCTGCACTCGGCGTGCACCGAGCACTGGTGCCGGTTCTTGGCACAGGTCTGCCGGGAATCCGTGTTGTAACTGAACACTGTGGCGAGAAAACAGTAGCACGCACCTGTCAGCACTCCTTGCAGGGAGGCACTGTCCAACGGATGTCCGCAAGCCCTGGACCCAGGCCCCCCTGGCACTCAAAGGCGAAAGTGCACTGGGTGGCGGGTAGCCACCTAGGTAGTGATGTGGTTCCCTTACGCAAACCAGAAGGCAAGCAGGCCTCAAAGGAGCTGAGAAGTGACTCTCCCATCCAGTGTTCTGTGTCACCAAGTCAGCACCAGAGCAGTTCTACCCCACATCAACCCTGGGATGGTGGACAAACCACGTGGTCAGGGGTCAGCTCCACATTTGGGTGGGAGACTTTAAAATATGCTGTCTTCCCTACTGTTTTTCTGCTGTGGTAAAGTATATTTAATAAAAATGTCATTTTAACTATACATACATATGTACACCTATATACATATTAAGTAATTTTTAAACGTTTTTCGCCTGCCCTTTTCCCCAGGGAATAATTCAGAAGGGACACCCAGAAGCCAATCAGAAACAATCATCTCAGTTACACCTGGCCTCCATGCCTCTGATGAAAGAATCAGGAAGAATCTCTCCCCGGGTGAAATCCCACCTCCCACACTCATCGTATTAGAATCCTGAAGCAGCTCGTTAACTTTAATGAACCAGAGCAAATTAATTTGGAGCCAAGTTCAAAAGCACGAACAAGGTGAAATTTTAGAGGGATAACATCCAGTTTATAATTGACATCAGGAGCGAAGATAAAAGTAAAATTTAACTCCCAGGCAGATTTGACTGGTCCTACATACTGGGGTGGGAATTTCCAGTGTGTATAAATAACACCTGTCCCTGATCTGAACCCAGCCGGTACTGGGTGGGTGAGCCCAGCTGTGGGCCCAGCTCTCAGGGAGCCCACCATGGCCTGTGTAACTGAGGGTGACTATTCAAACACCACCAGCAGGGTGCTGTGGCCACGGGAGGCTGGCCTTTCTAGTCAACACAGTGGAACAGCTGAGTAGAGGGGCAGAAAAACATCTGTGACATTTTGGGTTCGAATCTAGGCTTTTTCTACCGTGGAGTAACATGCTGCCCTAAGTCATTGGGGGCAGATAGGGTCTCATTGAAACACATGGCTTCACAGCTGAGAATTTCAGAGATACCAGAATGGGCAGAAATAGGATCAGACTCACAATTCAATATCTATAGGCAAAACCACACTCTGGGGGGGATCACACTGGGATCCGTGGCAGGGCACCCCTCCCCCAGGAACCCAGGGAGCAGTGGAGCTCATATCTTTGTCCTGCCACCAAACGGCAGTCTCCCCATTCCTGTGTCTTAGAAGTCAGTATGTACACAGCCTATAAGCAGCCATCTTGCCCGTGGTTTGGGAAACTCAGTAAGAAACATTTCTGACTATTGCTAAGAGACCCATCCGAAAAGCAAGGAGAAATAAAGATGAGTGGAGAGTGTGGAATGCACCAGACTCTTCTGGGAGTGTCACAGAAACTTTAGTAGGAACAGTGAGGTTTAAAGGTTTGGACTGCCGGGTGCTGGTGGCTCACGCCTGTAATCCTAGCTACTCAGGAGGCAAAGATCAGGAAGATCTCAGTTCGAAGCCAGCCTGGGCAAGAAACTATATCTTAAAAAAAAAAAAAAAATCACAAAAAAGAGCTGGTGGAGTGGCTCAAGTGGTAGAGTGCCTGCCTACCAAGCATGAGTCCCTGAGTTCAAACCCCAGTGCTACCAAAAAAATAGAATAAAGTTTTGGACCATCCCATTTGTAGGAGTCAACGAGTTATATGTCAGCCTCAGTAAAAAGAAAAAAAAAAAAATCACACAATTTGGTTTGAATATTTCTCATAACACAAACAAAAGCATGCTCAAACTATCTTTCCTCAAAATGTACAAAAAAAAAAAAAAAAAAAGATGCCCTGGTATAATATGATTACACTGTCACAAACTATTTTTGAAAAAGAAGATGATTTTTTTAATCTTCACAAATCTACTCTGCAACTTGCAGAGTTGGGGGGAAAATTAGCCAGCTGTTTGAATTCCAAAAGCAAGAGGAAATAAAGTCAGAGAGAAGCTGCAGAAAGAGCCAAAAGCAATTCCAGAGTGTTTTTTCAGGTGGGTGAATACATTTCTGATCTCAGAAGTCACAAGTAAGAAAATCTGACTTTCAAAACAATTCTAAAGCACGCTTCTCTTCAAAACAGACAGAATGGAACACCAGGAAACTTGGACTGTGTGCAGGACCACAGCGCTTAATCCCAGACCACTGGGCTTCTAGAAGCCCCCGGGCCAGCCCAGTGCTCTGCAGCTGAGAGCATTCAGCCCCCCACTTGCCCCAGCACTCCACACCCCACCTCATCACGCACACGGCCTGCGTGTGCACCCCACCCCACTGCAGCTCTCCTGTCTGGAAACCCAAGGGTCTTACCAACTCCTGTTTCTTCAACTTCATCCACATCGATGACCTGGGGGTGCTGCTGGGGGAACCCCTCCACTGGCAACTGGAAAGACCTGGTCCTCTCCGTGGGGTGCCCACGGGGCCTCTCAGTAGCCTCGTGGCCGGGGGAGAGGACACCAGGCACATTGTATGTGCCGGTGTCTCCCCTTCGTGGAGCCTTGTCGGGGAAGGACAATGTGCTCACATCCTCTGGGGCCAGGTAAGGGGTCACCACATCGTAATCTTCATCCTCCTCAGCGTACTCTGCTTCGTCATCGGGTCCGGGGTTCACGTCTGCAGACACCACACCGCTGGCCGTGGCTGGACTCCCGATCTCAAACACCCACACACCCTGGTGCCCCGAGTTGCTGCTCCTAGAGGCAAGGGAGGTTTCCTGAAACCAGCCAGCACCCCCAGCAAGCCACCATGAACAGAGCAGGAGGAGCCCTGGGGACCTGTGTTGGTCTGAAACCCATGGCCCGTGGCAGCCCACAGCAGGAGCTGGAGCACAGAGGGGCAGTAGCCATCTGTCCGGTCATCTCAGAGCTCAGGTAACCAGGGGCTACTTGCTGAGGCTGAGTCCAAATCAGGCAAGTCCTCCGTCATGGCCAAAGTGCACTCCAGGACACGGGCAGGACTCTCAACAGGACAGAGATACCAACCACCAATTCTGACCTTGTGAGCCAAGGTGATGGCAGTCATTCAGTTCCCCCACTACTTTCCTTCCACAGCATGTCATGATACACATATACAGACCACCCAGAAAGTGTCCCTGGTACCTGACGCAGGAGCTCCTAAAACCTCTGGAATACTCAAAGTGATAAAAGTGACCTTTATACGCTAACAAGTTGATTGATGGTGGGAATCCTAGATAGCCTCAGATTGGGGGCTGGTGGCCAGAAGGAACCAGACCCCCTTCTCACCCCCACCTACAGGGAAGAAAGAGAGCTGGAGGTGGAGGTCCCCACCAGTGGACAATGGTGCAACCAACGGCCGTCTGTAATGACACCTCCATCAAACCCCAAGTGGCAGGGGGTGGACAGTGCTGGCTTGGTGCACGCAGAGAGGTGCTGGGAAGTGGGCGCCCTGCCCTACCTTGCCCTAAGCTGTTCTGTTCCTACAGTACGTCCTTTATAACAAACTGGTGACAGTAAGTATGGCACTCTTGTGCTCTGTAAGCTCTTCCAGCAAATCATGGAAACTGAGGGCCAACAAGATCACAGAAACCCAGATTTTTGGTGGTGTGGCCAAAAGGGTGGGGGAGCTGTAGGACTTGGAGACAGCATCTGAAGTGGGAGCAGTCTTGTGGGGCTTGTCCTTGTGGGGTCTGCATTAACTCCAGGTAGTTAGTGCCAGCACTGAGCTGAATTATAGGACAAGGTCCAGAGAAAGGGACAGTTGGTGTGAGGGGAAAAAAACTCACACATTTGGTGTCAGATGTGCAGGAGTGAAAACAATGCAGATGAGTTGATTAAAAACCCCCACTCCATTGGCAGTGGGAGGGAGGACAGGCCTCAGTTTACCACTTTCTGTTCCAAGGGTGTGGCAAAAAAGCAAGCGAGACACAAACCCTGAAGGCATTTAAAATTATAACCCTACAATTACAGCCCTAATCTCTACTCTGGCTCCACCATTTTTACTGTCCTATCAGAAATTAGACAGACAGTACAGTGGAAAGAGCTGGTTATTAAACTTTTAGGAATTTTCCAAGCCAGTCATGAAACACAGCCCCAGTTTAAAAAAACAAAAATTATATAAGCTTAAATTAAATTGTGTCTTAAAAAGCAAGAAACACAACGCATCATCATGTGCTAATTATTTTAGTAGTGTCTGTGCTCTTAAGTTATTTAAGTCTATCATATCTTTATGGTGAAAATATACATGCAGTGATGCATCTTCTCCCAACTCTTCATGAGTGACCTGACATTAGTTGTTTGAATTTAGCTGTGACAAGACTATTGACACCACAGAAACAGGCAAACGCTCTGAACCAGGGCTCCTTGGCACCTACAAGCATATCAGGAAGTGAAGAGTAGAGGAATTTTAAGTTAGGTTTGACGACATGGAAACGGGAGTGGCCTATGCTCTTTGTTTCTTGATGAATAATAGGTGAGAACAGTTTTAATTGTAAAATTCTGGCCTGGGCTTCCCCCGCCACTGTCTGTTAAAATGTCACAGTTTTGGGGGAAGTGGTGTTCTCAGCCTTGGGGTCCTGGCAGGAGACAGGTTTGGATAACATTTATTCCTGACTTCACATTTGTGCAGGACATGGTAAAAATGGTTCTAAACGAGGGTAATATCTATAAAGTGCAATATTGGGAGGGGACCTGAAGGAGAATGGCGGAGGGTCAATCTAACCAAAATATATGGTAAGCACTTTTGTAAGTGTCACAACATACCCCCAGTACAACAATATGCTAACAAAAATAAAAATTTTACAAAAGCATGTTACCTGTTCTGCTGAGCATTTTCCCTCAGCTCAGGGGAAAAACAGTAATATAAAAACCTATATACAAATATATAAATATACAAATAATACATGAGTATAATATAAAAACCTATATATGAATTTAAAACCATAAGGATATTTTTGGGTAATGATCCATGATGACTATTGTATTTTCCTTGGTAAACTAATAAGTAACGAATAAAATAACAATCTCATGGGGGAAGAACAAAGAAAGCGTACTTGGCTAGGTTTTCGATCGACTCTCTGTCGTTGGCAAATATGTTATATGGTCCATCGCTCTTCCAAATGAATCCCACTAAACCTTTACTGAACGCGACCATGGCGGGCACTTGGTTCTCGTCCTTCTTGGAGAATGTCGTGGAGAACTGCAGGCCGTCTTCGGGGTACAGGAAAATGGCATAGGAGCTCGCGTTGGAGGAGGCCAGCACAGCCTGGAATGTGTTTCTCTGTGAAGACGAGTTAAAATCCAGTTACCCAGCAGCACATGTGCATGTCAGAAGCGTGACTCACCGGACTCTTCGTAAAAAGTACTGCAGAGGGAGACAACGCTCCCATCCTCTTCCAAAATGACCAAGCACTCAGCACAGCACTGCAGAAAAACCCCCAAGCCTGGGCCAACCTGAAACTTCCCGTGCATCAGGGAGGATACTCCGAATAACTCTGACCTCAAGTTGACCACAAATTATACAGCTGGTGTCTCCAGACGGTGGCCTAAATCTCATGCAATTTAGAAAACTCGTACCCCAAATTCTGCCTCCACGACCACGAAACATTCCACCACATTCGTCATTTGGCAAATATTTATTGAACACAACTGTCATGTGGTAGTAAAAACATGAGGTTTGGGGAAAACAGACCTGGACTCAGATCTCTGCTGCACTCATCGTTGGTCATGTGACCTTTAAGTCTGTAAGCGTCAATGTTTACACCTTCAAATGGAGGCAGAACTAGCTGCTTCATCAAACAGGGCAAGACCTATGGCAACATAGGAAGTGTTCCTCTAACATCAGTACCTTTCCTTCAAGCCAGACGCTGCCCTGCGCTCTGCAAAAGTGAAGAATAAAAACACAGGCCGTGCACTTGAGACTGTATAGTGTACACGAGAACAGTATTGCAAAACTTGGGGACAGCTGTAACAGAGACATGCAGAGTGCCCTAGGATCCAACAAAGGAAGCAAATGTCCAGCGCTAGAAAGCGGCAGAGAGGAAGGGTTGTGGAGGAGACCCTTGTTGGTCAAGGCCTCACAGAAGGCCTGAACAAACAAGCAGGAAGAGGACAGAGAGAGGATGTCCCAAGTGGAAAGGACTATAACATATGGTAGGTAAAAAGAATATTAATAATTTTTTTGGAGGCACTGGGGTTTGAACTCAGGGCCTCACACGTGCTAGGCAGGTGCTCTACTACTTGAGCCATTCCACCAGCCCTTTTTTTTTTTTTTGTGATGGGTTTTTTTCGAGATAGGGTCTCACAAACTATGTGCCCTGAGCTGGCTTGGAACTGCAATCCACCTTATCTCTGCCTCCTGAGTAGCTAGGATTACAGGTGTGAGCCACCGACACCTGGCTGTAGGTAAAATATTTTTTAAAAAGTCATGATCAGAGAGTTGCAAATGATTTGGTACAGCTGCTGGAAGGGTGTGGCGGTATAGCAGTTCAAGACTAAGAAGCTAGCTATGGCTTGGTACCAAAGGGTTGGGAATTTCCCCAAGAGTGGCAAAGCAAAATGTATCTTGCAGGCCCATAGCAGACTTTCCCAAAGTGTATTCTGTAGGCTGTAATGTTCTATTTGGGGGTGAGAGGATGGGAGGTATGCCCAAAAGCTGTGGGGCTGCTTGGTTAAATGATTTCAAGCAGGCTTCTTTACTGAAGGACTCTTAGAGCAAGTCGCCAAGAGCAAGAGAGAATTTTAGCATTTCCCAAGCTAATTTAGCCAGGGGATGTCTCTTCCCTAAGGACTATCTGGTAGGGCTGGTGTTCGTTCCATCACACACATTTTGAGAGCTATTAGTTTACAGCATGTCAGTTAGAGAGTGTTTTGGGCCTTTCAAGTTTCTTTCTACTCCCACAATGCCACAAAAATTCAATAATGGTGTAGAGAAATTGTTTTCCAAGGAAAAATTGAGGCCTGTCCCAATAAGCCACCTCGGGTCTGGTGATGGTCTCTCCACCTCTTCAAGGGCCAAGTCCAAGCCTGGTCCTTCAAGACTGTCCTAACCCTATGAGCACATGATAAAAGCGAGAGCACACAAGGGAGGGGTGAGGATAGGTAAGACACCTAAAAAACTAGCTAGCATTTGTTGCCCTCAACGCAGAGAAACTAAAGCAGATACCTTAAAAGCAAACTGAGCCAATAGGAGAAGGGACCAGAACTAGAGAAAAGGTTAGATCAAAAAGAATTAACCTAGAAGGTAACACCCACGCACAGGAAATCAATGTGAGTCAACGCCCTGTATAGCTATCCTTATCTCAACCAGCAAAAACCCTTGTTCCTTCCTATTATTGCTTATACTCTCTCTACAACAAAATTAGAAATAAGGCAAAATAGTTTCTGCTGGTATGGGGATGGGGTGGAGTGGTGTAAGGGAGGGTTGGGAGGGGGGAAAATGAACCAAGCCTTGTATGCACATATGAATAATAAAAGAAAAAGGAAAAAAAAAAAAAAAAGACTGTCCTAACCACTGCACCACAGACACCCACCCTAGGCTATGACAGCACGAGCTCTGAACCACTCACTTGGCACAGGTGGCTCCATCACTAGATGGGGCCTGCCCTTATTTCTTCACTCTCCTCAGGAGCGTTTTGTTATCATAACCTAGCCATATTAATAAGTTCTTTACTTAATCAGAAACTATGGTTCCAGCTAAAGCAGGAAGCATAAAATAGGACGATCGTGGTCCGGGCTGGCCTGGGAAAAAAGTGAGACCCTATCTTCATAGTAACCATAGCAAAAAGGGCTGGAGCTCCTGTCTGGCAAGCCCAAAGTCCTGAGTTCAAACCCCAGTATCATCAAAAAGAGAAAGAAAAGAAACCATGGCCCCACAATCTGTTACCCAAAAACACAGGGCTGTCCCTACATCTGTCACAGGGACTGCTTTTCTTACATGTGATCATAATCTCAGCCAGGTTTTGAACAGTTCAGTCCTACAGTGGGTAGCCTGTTAGATTTCACTTTGGATTTCCTGTCTTGATCAATTACCTAGGCTTGGTGTACCCTGGAGCAGCACAAACCCCAATGTGAAGCCAGTGTCCCACCAGCTGCGTCTCTCCCGGGGGAGTGCTCACCTTGCCTTCCTGGGCAGGGTTCCTGCTGGGCCCTTGGTAGGGGGCCACGGATTCCCAAGTGACAACCACCACGCTACTGGGCTGGAAAGAGACTTCTGGGAACCCCCTCTGGACACACTCTGCTGCCAGCCGAGTGATGGAGGGGGACAGGTCTTCTCGATAGTGCACGCTCCCGAGGCCATCTGTCGTGTCCAAGTCCGCCAGGAAAGGTGCGATGGCGCCAAAGGTGGGTGGGAAGAGGCCGGGATGGGACTCCTTGGCTGGAGGTTTGCTCATGGCAATGATGCCATTTGTAGTGACCTGGATGAAACCAAGTGTGGTTAGAGAGAACGCAGACATGGCTTCCTCCTCAGCAGGCATGAGCACCCTCTTGCAGAACGCTGTCACAGGTGCCCGCGTCAAGTAAAATAGGAGCCTGAATGGCAAAGCCAGCATTCCCCCTCTGGGCCAGATGGCTTGGTGGAAGGAGCACAGGCCAAGAATCAGAGGATGTGACTCTGCCATGTGCAAATTGCCAGAGTGTGGGCAGGTGTCTCAGACTTTAGTCTCAAGTTTCCTCCTGTGTCCTCCTGAAGTCAGGTGAAAACACAGGAACAAAAGTGCTTTATGCAGAGCCAAGCATTATCCAAACGTAAGTCATTCGTAAAGCCTCAATTAATGTACTCAGCAAATGGAGCAATCATTCCGACTAGGACCGCGCAAAAGTGCTCTGGGCCAGGCGCCAGTGGTTCACACCTATCATCTTAGCCACTCAGGAGGCAGAGATCAGGAGGATCACAGTTCAAGGCCAGCCCAGGCAAATGGTTCAAGAGACCCTATCTCAAAAATACCCAACACAAAAAAAGGGCTGGCAGAATGGCTCAAGTGGTACAGTGCCTACCTATCAAGAGTAAGGCCCTGAGTTCAAATCTCAGTACTGCTAAAAAGAAAGAAAAAGTGCCATGGGTACCAAAATGGGTAGAATTCCATGAGAGGATGAAGGACACAAACAAATGATTATGCAATAATTCAGCAAGAAGGGAACTCAGGAGCCCCGTGTGCTGGGAGGTTTGAGATTGAGGAGGGTTGAACTTGGGATGTTGAGATTGAGAAGATCATGCTTTGAGGCCAGCCCAGGCAAAAAGTTCAAGAGGCCCAATCTTAACCAGTGGCTGAGCACAGTGGTGTGTGTCTGTCATCCCTCCAAGCACAAAGCAAGACCCTGTCTTCAAAATAACCAACACAGAAAGGGCTGGTGGAGTGACTCAGGTGGTACAGAGCCTGCCATGCAAGTGTGAGGCCCTGAGTTTAAACCCCATTACTGTCCTCCCCTCCCCAAAAGAAGTTAATCTGCATGGGGCCACATGGTATCATCAATCACTGTAATTAGTTTAATGAGTGAGAGTACTAACTAGACCACGTCCCAGGCATCTTGCTAGCGCCTAATCCTCAGAAAAAACACAGACAGCTACTCCTAGCATCACTGTTCCGTCGTTGTTGTTTTGTTTAGGTTGGTTTGGTTGGTTTGGTGGTACTGGGGATTGAACTGAGGGTCTTGCCCTTGCTAGGCAGGTGCTCTCCACCTGAGCCACACCCAGCCCTTTCTGCTTTAGTTCTTTCTTGAACAGGGTCTCGAATTTATGCTTGAGCTGGCCTGGACCTCCATCCTCTTATTTATGCTTCCTGAGTAACTGGGTGACAGGCACATGCCAGCTGTTGGTTGAGATGGGTCTTATGAACTTTTTGCCCAAGAAGGCCTAGAAACTCGATCCTCCCAATTTCTGCTTCCAGAGTTGCTAGGATTACAGGTGTGAGCCATCTCAATGGGTTTTAACCACTGCTTTCACTCAGCTAAAACCCAAGGAAAGGGTCACTGAGATATGGTGGCAAGCAGCCCCATGGTGGCAGGGGCACCTGGACGGTACTGGATTTGAACAGACCTCAGTTCAAACAGACCTCTGTTCAAACCCAGTAGGCACTCTACCACTTGAGCCACCCCGCCAGTCCTTTTTTTTGTGTTGGATATTTTGGAGATAGGGTCTCAAGAATTATTTGCCCAGGCTGGCTTTGAACTGGTCTCTGCCTCCTGAGTAGCTGGGATTACAGATGTGAATCATGGCACCTGGCTGTATATTTCTTTTCACCTCTTTCATCACAGAAGATTTTGCAAAGGGTGCCTGATTTTGCTCTTTTGTTTTGTTTTGTTTTCTTGTGACTGTTGTTTTGTTTTATTTGTTTGTTTGTTTTGGTGGGACTGGGGTTTGAACTCAGGGTTTTACGCTTGCAAAGCAGTTACTTTACTGATTCCTCAAATCCTACAGTCCAATTTGCTCTTATTTTGGAGATAGGGTCTCACAAACTATTTGCCCAGGCTGGCCTTGGATTACAGGAGTGAGTCACCAGCACCCAGCTAGTGACTTTTGATTTTGCTCAGCTTGGGAGTTGATGTCCACCTGCTGTTCCGCTCCTCTTCCCACCAATCTCACCCTTTCGTCAGTTCACACCTCACTTACCAGAAGAAGAATGGGGCAGAAACTGGAGCAACTGCTAAGTACTGGGTAGCAAGGTTCAAGATGGGGGGGGGGGGCGGCACATATTTGGAACCAGAGCTCTGGAAGCTAATTACAGACTTAACAAAACCCTCTCTTCTTACAAACTCCGTGAGCTGTTAACTCCTCCAGTGACATTTCCTGTCATCACTGGCACCAGCAAGACTTTTCTAGAATACCCTGACAGACCACAGGGAAGGGAGACAGGCCAGGCGCCTCCTGCAGCCCTCTCAGCATCCAAACGGCCCCAGTGGCTGTGGGGGATGCGTGGGAAAAGCCCGCTTTCTCAAGCACCAGATGTGGGCTGCTGGTGGGAGCGATCACCCAGAGGCCACATCCAGACAGCTCCATTGTAAAATTGTTTTCCAGAGAAATTTAAATAAGTCCAACAATTTTGAAAACGCTCCCAGGGTCTTTTTATTACTGGAATGTGGGCACCAGAACACTTGTATTTTCACAAGAGCTGCCTGCCTGAGAAACTAAGTTTTATGCAAATGCTTTGGGCAAAGACCATGTAGTCCTCATCCGTGTTACTAAAAAGTCACTTTTCAGACAATTCACACCTTCCGAGAAAAATATAATATACAGACAGCCAGAAGTTTCACTGGATTCTTAACATTAAGTGTCTTCCCCATAAATTTCTCTATTCAAATAGCCAGCTAACTTGATGACTGGTTTTAGATGGTGAGACCCCCACACACACCTTGGGGTTCATACTGGTACCTGACAACTGCCCAGGACCATATCTCCCAGTGCTTGAGCTCAAAAACCTTCCCTTTCTCATCTCCTGTGTGTCCTAGCTTGTTCCTGCTATCACCAACACCCCTGGTGCCCTCCCAGTACTGCAGCCCCTAGTGGAAGTGGCACCTTCTCAGAGGGCCCACCTCTCACCAGGGTGGGCTCCCACCATCTGTCTGTCTTTCCCGTACTTGCTCACTCCCTCACTCTAATTTATTGCTCCCATCTCAGCCCCCCTTTTGTCTGTTCGCAGACTCTGACTGCTATTTCACTATGTGGCCAGCCACTTGGCGTGGGTGACTCTGGCCATCTTGGTCACCGCTGCAGCTCCAGAACTTGCTCCCTGTGTCCTCTCCCTTCCTGACTTACCTCCAGCACTGGGCAGGGGGCTTTAATGTAGTGTAAGACCTGCACACAGTGGGGCTGGAGCCACACGAAGGACCACGGAACTCTGCTACTGCAGTGTTTGCAACTGGGTGCAAAACTACTCATCACAACTGAGCACAAGTACACAGGAACCCACACTGTGAGTCCGATTGGTGCTCTCAGTTTGCAGGAGACAGGAGAACAAGTTAAGTGACACCATGGAGGTGTGATCACCAAAATTCAGATTATGGGACACTCTAAAGGATAAACTTTAATAAACTGCCAGGACAAACAGGTTCTGTGACTCATGCCTATAATCTCAACTACCTGGGAGACTGGGAGGATTGTGGTTTGAGGTCAACCTGGGTGAAAAGTTAGCAAGACCCCATCTCACCCAGCTAATCAGGAGGCGTAGGAATGATGATCAGGCTAGCCAAGTAGGGGGGACATGAGACACGACCTGAAAAATAAAAGCAAGAAAATGGCCGGGGCATGGCTGGGCATGGCTCAGTGGTAGAGGGCCTAGCTAGCAAGTGTGAGGCCCTGGGTTCAATCCCCAGTACTGCCAAAAGAAATAAAGTTTAGTTTTTAAAAAAAGTACATAATGAGCATGATTGATCTAAAATTTAGCCATAAACAGCAAGTGGTTTTAACAGATAAGTCAACATAATATCCTGTGTCAGGAGTGGGGTCTGTTTTTCCAGCTTTATTGAGGTATAATTGGCAAACAAAAGTATATACATTTATAGAGATGATGGCTGCACACAGGTAGTACGAAATGATTTCCTCAGTCAAGTTAGCTATCGAAGCTAACACAATCATGGAACACCCGGCCACACACAGACTTGTAGACTAACCAAACCCACTGGCTGAGAAATAAACCCATGCACTCAGTCAACTGAGACTGACAGGAGTGTCTGAACTCGCCACCGGGACCACACAGCCTCTTCAATAAACAGTGTTGGGAAAACTGGGAATCCCCATATAAAAGGATGAAAATGTGAGTTCTACAGAGCTCACACAAATTAACTCAAAACTGATTAAAGACTTAAACAAACATAAGATCTGAAAACCATAAAACTCCCAGAAGAAAACATAAGGGACAAGCTTTCTTGACATTGGTCTCAACATACACTTTGGGGGCCCCGACACCAAAAGCACAAAGCAACAGAAGCAAAAAGAATCCAGTGGGACTCCATCCTCTCTGGAATCAGGGGCACGGGACAATGATGGTTAATGGGTGGGAGGTGGTGGCCGAAGCAGATCTAGTAATTAAACTTGATCAAAAGTTACAGATCCCTGAGGCTCCCCAGCACTGCCCTGGGGACAGAAAGAGACATTTATTAGACCCCAGTAACTACGACTGTGATGGTGGCTAAAACCATCACGTGGATTATGAGCCAGCCTTACTTCTGGTATGAATGTTGGTGAGCAGAAAAATGTTTGGATGACTTCCAGTTCTCCAGACCCCCCCAGGGTACTGCCCATTTGACACGCTGGGCTTTTGCAGGTAAGGGCCTTTCTGAGCTGCAGTTGCTCAGTCTCACTTCTCCTGTGAGGTCTTCCTGATTGCCAGCAGGGCTGACCACTTGCCCCCTTTCTGACTTTGCAGTTAACAAAGTCAGAATTAATGAGAGAATAATATTACTAATAAATACTAAATTAGTA